AATCCAGAAACTCTTTACAATGTATACATACTGTAAACGGGGGATTAAGACTCTTAAGCTTTTAAAGGCAGGGAGATGAAAAGTTGGTGGTAACAGAGATGGCGATGCGGGAGAGTCTTATTGGTAATCTTATTATCCTACATCGGCTCGCTCGGAAAACAAACAGAATCATATCAGTCTGGTCTGGTCTTGTTTGATGAGCTGCAACACACACACACACACACACACACACTTAAACACATGCACACACTCAGGTTAGATTTATAAACCAGATTATTGTTGATACAGTGGATAAAACAGAGTTTGAGTTTTCAGAAAAAAAACACACTAGTGTTTCTGCCCTTGAGCTGATGTTGATTAGTGCCAAGTTTTGTTTGAACTTTTTCATACTGTTGCTAAGAGATTAAGTACAGACAGACACCTAACTTTGAGAAATATAAAGTGCGAAAGTTTATTCTTTACCTTGGTTAGACAAAAGAGCCTCAGCAGATAAATTTGCTCGGTTGTCATAATCATAGAGGAGGTTAAAACCTCCGGGAAAATACTAATAAGAGGACCTTGAGTAAAGTATTTTTTTGTAAAATACAAACATGTTTTTCTGCAAGGCATTTTAAAAATAATTCAAACAATGAAGCCAGAATTCTCAAGTAGAGTCATCCAAAGACAAGTAGCTGAACAAGAACTTTGACTCAATATTGTTCAGTCTAAAACTGGACAACTTATGATTTAAATCAGGAACTATTAGTTTAGATAGTTAATAAGATTATGAATCTGAGACAGTGGCCAGATGAAAAGCTTGGGGTGGCAGTTGGGGAAGGGCCGGAGTGTCAGAGTGCCAGAAGTGGCTGGCTGGCTATGCAGTCATAGTTTTCTTTGAAATGGGTCATTAATCAATAAAAAGAAATAGATTGTTGATTTTAATGAACAGTACCTAACTTAAAATATCAGATAGAAGCATATTAGGCATATGCAACTCACGAGGGGGAGCCAATGGTTGTATCAGGGGGGCTGTGGCCACCCCTGGCCCCATCTGCAACACCACTGATCTGAGCAGATATTCAACATGAACTATAAATACTAGTTTTTAATACTCTGTGCTATGGGCACATTTATTGAGGTTCATTAACCAGCCAGAGTTCTGACTGAATCCAGCATTAGTATTTTTATTCTGGGGTTTCATTATGGTTTAACTGCTGTTTCAGGACTGGAATCAAACACAATTTTCGGTGAAACATGAGGCTTTCCGATTTTTCAGTGTAATCTTTTTTGCGTGAAATTGGTCAATCAAAGTTGACAAAATGTTGGCATTATTGTCCATCAGCAGTGTTAAAGTGCCGCTGTCATTTAAAGAAAACAACAAGTAGGACCTCAAAATGCACCCGAAAGGGGCTGAGTCACAGCTCTCCACCCCGCTTGAACCCCCATCTGCAGGCTTTGGCTCAGCAAACGCTGTCAAACACTAAACGTCAGGCGGAGATTAAAAAAAAAAGAAAAAGAAAACAACGTGGAGAGAGAGGACCGAGACAGAATGAGACGAGAGGAAAAAAAATAAATAGCTGGCACAAGGTAGACTGTACATACTGTACCCTCAGTGGTGGCAGGCAGCCCAGACTGGCAAGCCACCAAGTCCTCCGTACAACAGGCACAGACAGACAGACAGACAGAGAGACAGACAGACAGACAGAGAGTGAGAGACAGAGTGGAAAGCAGAGGGGAGGGAGGAGGCAGCAGCAGCAGTAGCGGCGTCTGAAACGCTCCACATCCACGACACGCTGCGCATACCAAAAAGCCTCTCCACTCTCTCGCTTCATCTCCCCAATATTCTGTCTTTTCTGAAGCGAGCTGAAGGATGATGGCGGCGGCAGCCGTGGAGGAGGAGGAGGAGGAGGAGGAGGGGCTGAGGTTGAGGGTTTTGGGACTCGGTGAAGTGTCATCATTACAGAGAGACACGATAAAAATCAAGACGCGGCGTCAGACCGAAAAAAATAAAACCTTGAAAGTCAAACGGTGGAGGTGGAGGTGGAGGAGAGACAACAAAAACTATCAAAGAAGCTTTGCCTCAGTGCTGTCTCTTCCCTAACCGTCGCTCGTCTCCACAGAAGCGCTTGTGTTGCCTTTTACGCCAGACCAAAGCGGCTATGAATCAACACTGATGTGTGTAACAGTACAGGTTGATGTCGTGCGTCAACACGGCCCCACTTGGAAAGAGTAAAAAAAAAAAAAGAACGAAAGGAAAGGAAAAAAAAAAGTTTGTGCACTTGCTGCCACTGTTGCTAAAAATACACTGCCCACATCTTCCGCTCGGCTGCCTTTCTCAAGGTGGAGTATGTGGTTCTTCCTCGAAGTTTTCAATGTTCTTTTTTTTTTCCATTTGATCTCCTATCAGCAGAGTTTTCACCTTATGTCAAAGAGTACAGATTGGGAGATATTATTAACCTGTTGATATCACAGGAGATTAGAGATGATCTGCTTTTTAACTCGTGCTGGAAGACTCTATTTATGTTCTGACTTTCATCCAAATCACACATTCACACATTTTTTTTCACACTAGTGCTCTTACTTTATTAAAAATATTGTACTCATGATCTCTCTGGTCTTAGAAACATTCATGTACCTGTCACCTTTCTCCTTCCTCATTCCTGACCTCTGTGGGAAACTAATCCAAGGCCATAGCCGCGGGTCTGTCTATTCAAAATTTGAGAGCTCATTTCCTGCCATTCTAACATATTTAAAGATTCACTCACACACGGGATGAACTGAGCAATGATATGGCCTGTGTAACACTCATATTACATTCTAGTTTCCCACTTTTAAATACATTTAAAAGCAATGAAATAGAGAGACATTACAGTGTTTGACATTGATATATATATGCATATGGAGATGTGTGTCCCTCAGTATCTATTACAATTAGTGCCTTACACTTCCTTCATCTTCAAAAAGCCTCAAAATTAAACAGGATTTCATTTCTCTTACAGTTACACGATATTAGGGAAGATAAATGGTTGCTAAATACTCTCAAAAACTTATGAAAAATATAAACGACAAAATATGGAGCCAGTCGTTTGTTTTCTCTGTCATCGCAAAAGGCAAGCAAACTCTTCTTCTCAAAGCTTTTAGTCCATGACATTATTTGTCACTTTAAATTAATGAGTATAAACTTTTTGCTTTTTATCAACTTAGGTTGCTTACTGGCATTGATATAAATGGGGTGATCAAAACATTTCTGGTAACTTATACACACAGCCAAAAGACATATATATATATATATATATATATATATAAACATATAAACATATATATATACAT